AATACAATTTTCGGAAAAAAAGTTTTTTCAAAAAAATGAAATTTCTGTTCTCTGATTTTTCCCGATTCTAATTTTCTACTTTACAGAGAATTTTGGTCGTTTTTTTTTCTTGATTCTTCGATTCTTTTCTTTTGGGTAGTTCAAAAAATCATCCCGATTTAATTGATTTCCTTTTTCCTTTTTTTTCTAAATCGACGATTTCTTTTTTCTAGGGAAGATCATTCTACAAAATACGAATTTCTTGGGGTAAATCGAAGTTTATAGTTGCTGCTGTCTTAAAAGCGAAATTTTTTGCACAAAAATGGTCTTTTTTTGTACATAAGATTACCCCCGAAGCTAGATATCCCTGTTCCTCCCTCCTCTTACTGTACAAAATGCATAGCTTTACAGAAAGAGCCATAAAACCGGACAGCAAAAAAATTGAGCATATCGGCCGCCTGGTCTCCATGTTACGCGCCGGCCCATAACTCCTTTCAAAATCAATATTTGCAAATGAATTAAAAGCAAAAAATGTAGAGCTTAAAAAGAGCTATAAAATGATATAAAATGTATCTATTGTGAAAAACGACTTTGGTACTAAAAAGCCTTTAAACGATTAAGACATCGCCAGCCATCTTCTAGCCGTTCTACTCTTTCCCCATATTTATGGTTTGGTTGGGAATTCTAGTAAGAAAACTTTTGTAGTGTTTTACATGGTTTTGTAGCCCTTTTCAAGATCTAATTTTTTCTTTTTTTATTTTTCCGAAAATATCAATTTTGAAGAAAGTTACGAGCCGCCGACGCATTGAGATTAGTCTTTGCGGTAGGCTGAGCTTCTGTTTTCCGTTTATCGGGTCCTATTCAAATATCTGAAAATTAAAAGTTATAGTGTTTTATACCATTTTGAAGCCCTTTTTAAGATCTACATTTTACGTTTTAAATTATTTGAAAATGCTAATATTGAAGGGAGTTATGATCCGGCGCGTAGCACGGCCTTTGAGGCCAGGTAACTTTGCAGCCCGGTTAGCGGCATACGCTCAGAAAAACCTAGCAATTAAATTTTTTTGTATTTTATACCATTTTGTAGCACTTTTCAAGACCTACATTTTACATTTTGAATTATTCTAAAATACTATTTTTGAAGGAAGTTACGGGTTGGCGACGCATTGAGACCAGGTGGGAGGCGATCTGAACTACCTCGCTGTCCGTTTAGCGGCTCCTCTTCAAAGAGCTGGATTTCAAATTTCATAGTGTTTTATATTATTTTGTAGCCCTTTTCAGGATCTATCTTATTCTGTTTGAATTTTTTGAAAATATTGTTTTTGAAGAAAGTTATGAGCCTTACTGTATTTTCAGGGTCATTTTTTGCCCCCCCCCCCCCCCCCCGCCTAGACAACAACATCATATTTTTCTGTCCTTCTTCTTAATCCTCTTTAATAGTAGTTAGTTTTTCGGAAATTTCGGTATTTTTTTGAATAGAATTTTCGAACAAAGTTCTTTTTTGCCACAGACAGTACCCCTAAATACCTTTTTGTATTTTTTTTTGAAAATAAATTCCAAAAAATTTCTAGCCGACGACAACAAATCGGTTTTTAATTGCGCCCACATTTCTAACAACCGTCTCATCTTGTTCGTCGATTTTTGTCCTCAATTTCACATAAAATGTTTTTCTCTCTCTCTTTTTCTCTGCGTCTCTTTCCCTTGGAATTTCTCCGTTCACAGGTAAATACGAAATTTGGCATGATTCCAAGTTTTCCCCCCTTACATTGTCTGTGTCTCTAACTCTAATTAATGAAGAAAACACTAGGAAATTCTAAATTTTTCTAGAATTTTCCCATTGAATTACTACAAAAATGGCTGAATTTGACCTAAATCTTTTGAAACACCGAGTATTCAAAGAATTGATAGCCAAAAAGTAGTATTCTGTTGATTCTCATGAAAAACTAACTTATTTACTGAGCTCGCCTTGCTGAGAGCTTCAAAATGAGCCTAATCACGACTAGGCTCCGCCCACTTCGATTTTTCAGGCGCGTCGCGGTCGTGCGTCGCGTGTCGAAGAGAAATTTCAAAGTGGGCGGAGCCTAGGCGTGTTTGGGCTCATTTTGATGCTAAGACGCTCACAATTTTCCATAAACTGGTTTTGGTCGGTTTGAACCATCCCAATTTGCGAAATTTGCGACAGTTCTGAAAAA